TTTTTTTTTTTTGTAACATTGTGTTTGAGGTTGTTGGGCCTTGTCTTGTAGCCATATTGGTCCGAAATCTCAAGAATGCCAACTAATTAACTGAAAAATCTTCCTTCAATGTAAATTCCAAATAATTATTTTGGAAAATCTTTCGAGGCAAAAGCCAGTACGAGTTTTCTGATGAAAATAATGATTATGTAATTGGGCTGTCTGTGGTTTAGAATTTGGCGGGAAACAGTTGACGCGTGTTTCTTGCCAACGTTTGCTGAACGTTTCTCTCTCATCCGCTGGGAAAATATCGGGAAGAAAGCGCCCGGCTCCCGCTTAACGAGGTATAATGGACTTCTTTGACGCCAAAAAAAGTAAGTATCAAACTACAACGTGTATTATTTAATACATCTAATAGTTGCCTTGGTTGTTGTGTTCATTCTTAGCTCGTTGTAATATGAAAATCGGTGAGCCATTACACAGTTTTATAGGTTGGACAAAACAACATGGCAATTTAACCGTCCAGTGATTAAATAATTTATGAAATTAAGCTTGGTTTTTCAAAATTCGATGAGAACAACGATGAGAACAATGATGAAAACTAAACAAGTGAGGAATCGACTAGCACGGAAGGTACGTTTAATACAATTGAAAGAAATTATTATTTGAATTTTTGATTCGATTTTCGCAAACCATCGGCATTGTTGTGCAAGATAGCGTCATTACTCAACGGTACTCTGAGGTTTGGAGGGCTTATTGATATGATTGACTGAAGGAGCAAAGTTGCAGAATCTTCTTGTGATGGTTACGTAGCATTTAATTTTCTTTAATAAGAATTTTCCTTTTAGGTGGAATCGTGATAAAAAAAACCCTGGCCCATCGAAGTTCTGGTGGAAATTTTTAAGTGGCTTTCAATAGAGGAACGACTTCAGCAACTGGCATCAGTGTGCAAACTCTTTCACCAAGCCGTCCATACACCAAAGTTTTTGAAGATAATTGACACTTGTTCAGAATTTGCTCTTTCTTCATTTCATTCTGTTTTGAGCACGCTAAACATATAACACATTTCGGTTTTCATTATTGTCCGTTATTGTCAACGACAATTAGGCTGCAGAAATCTGATTGAAAATGCTCTGAACGATTGTGTCAACCTTGTCCACTTAGACCTGGTGTACAATACGTCAAATTTCACTTTGTATTTTATACAAAGCATGCCATTTTTAAGATACCCTGACATAACAAGCTGCCAAAATGTGAAAGAAAGTAGTTTAACCTTATCCCTTAAAAACAAAAGAGGGCCGTAGGTTTAAAAATGGGGAATTGTCTTCAGATAAAAGGAAATTCACTCGTTTCCAAAATCAGGAGTCTGCCTGACGTAAGGAACGTAGTTGCCAATTGGTGTGGCTCAATAACAGTAGAACAAGCCCGCGATGTTTTGCAGCAGTGCAAACTTCAGGCGTTTTGTGGGAAGAATTTGTACAAGATTTTAAAGATGTAGAGTTTGGGAAGGATCTGTTAGATCACGCCGAACCAGTAAATCTCCCGGGATTTTTGTTTGATGATGAAGTAGAGTAAATAAAGACTCATGTGTAATAGGTTCTATAAGAAATGGAGTAGTAATAGCTGAACAATAAAAATGTTAAGAAAAATATATATATATATGGTAGCTCTTGTTTTTCATAAACAGTCAGTCGCAGCACGCGTTTATTTTATTGATTTATTTTAAGACTCAAGTCCATGTGGTAGAGATCCCAATGACCCAGCGAATTATACTGGTAAAACTTTATCAGACGACCAAAAGCTTGAGCTTCTAACTGTAAAGTTTAGGTTTCCGCAAGGATTCAAGTTTCCGACAACAGCCTGAAGGCGCTTCCAATTATCATGGATGGAGATGCGGCTGTGGCTGCATTACTGCATTAGAAATGACACAGCTCACTGTATCTGTTGTATATGTTCTTCCAACAATACTGGTCCAAGCGAATCGCCATTTATGTCAAAGGGCTTCAAAAACTGGAAGAAAGCAAGTGATGAGCACCTTGACGCCCATGCGCGCAGTGAAGTACACCAACTTTCAGAAGAAAAGATGACTAACTTCCTAAAGACACGCTGCCCAGGCAGTGACATCAGTGCAAGACTACATAGACAGGCAGCCGAGCTACAGCGTTGGACAATGAAAGGCGTCCTGTCTATTATTGATGTAGTCATTGCATTGGGACAGCGGAGCATTCCATTAAGAGACAATTGGGATCCCTCTAAAAGAAATGAAGATAGGAATTTCTCCTTCTTTGTTGACTTGAAATCCAAATATGATCCAGAACTCAAAGACCATTTGGATCATGCTTCCGGTAGTGCTGAGTACACGTCTCCGAGGATTCAGAACGAAATAATCAATTTGTGCGACAGTCTCACTAGAAACCGTGTCCGAGCATCAATACCAAAGTATTGGAGTGTTATGGCCCGCGAAACGCAAGATTGTTCTACACTGAACAACTTAGTATATGTGTGCGATATCTCAGCAGTGAAGATGAAGTCTGTGAAGAGGGGGGCATTGGGGCCTATTGGAAACTGTAAAACCGTAGGAAAAATTGTCCAAAACCGAAAAACCGAAAATAAATTTTCGATCAAAACCGAAAACTGCATGCAAAACTGTCAAAACCGATACATTTTCACATCCTAGTTATTAAAACCCTGATTGATCCGATACAGTGGTGACAAGTGGAGCATACAGAGTAAACTACACTAATTTCATTACAGGATTTATGAATGCCATGGACTTGGCATTCGTATCTTCTAGTATCTGCTTAAATTGACAGCTGTTCTCTCGAGGACCTCGAGCGTGGTCTCTGCGGACTCAGCAGCTGGTAATGGAGC